CTCGTGCTAGCCATCACCATCCGAGGAAAAAGGCTCCCACTGTCCACTCTATCTAATCCTCTGATCATCTTGTATGTCTCTATTAAGTCACCTCAACCCTAACCCTAACCCTAACCCTAACCAGAATTGGATGGCTTGATGGTATCGGTTGAGAGGGAGACATGCTGGGCCATGAGGTTGCAGATTGTGTTGGATTATCATTCTGTTATAGTGTTGATGGTTCACAACATTTCATGGATTCCCAGTGTTGAGTTGCTAGATGCTAAAATTCCAATGCCTTCGTCTATGTCAGGTAGTCCATCCAGTTTCAATTCTTTTTTGAGACTTTCTTGCATTTGATGTAACTGAGTGGCTTGTTAGGCCATTTCAGAGGGCAATTAAAATTCAACAACATTGCTGTGGGAGTGGAGTTACATGTAGTCCAGATCAAGTAAGGGTGACAGATTTCCTTCTGTATTATTAAAGACATTATAGCAGGGCAATTTGAATAACTCAAGGTAAAAAGGCAGTGTCAACATGGTCTTGCAAAATGAAAACCACATTTAACTAATTTATTGAAGATTGTTGAGGAGGTAACACATGCTGTGGATACAGGAGATCTATATATTGTACTTCAGTCTTAAGGAGGCATTTTAGAAGGTGCCACCAATTTGTGGTCCAGGTCTAGAATCCATTGCCCGAGAGTGTGGTGGAAGCAGGTTTGATTGAGGTGTTCAAAACGGAATTAGACACTTACTTTACAGAATCACATTGAAAATGAGCAGTGTTGAGGGAAGAATGCAAGAGAAAGGTCTTAATTGTTCCTATGGTGAACTGGCACAAACATAATGGGCTGAATGGCTTCTTTGTGTGCTATAACAGTTCTGTGATTCTATGACTGAGAGAAATGCATCCAGTGCTCATGACATCGCTTTTGGAAAGGCATGAAAGACATGAGATAGTGCAGAGATGATTTACCAGATTTTTTCTGGGATTGAGGAGTGTTATCTGGTGTTGTCTTTTGAGTAAAAGATATTGTGGGAAAATGTTATCAAAAGATGCAGGACTACGACACCTGTAGACAAGGTGGACAAAAATAATCTGTTCTCGTTAACTGATGGAACAAGCACTGGTAGACACAGATTTTATGTTTCAAACAAGAGATACAGAGGGAGATATGAGAAAGAACATTTTATTCAGTGAGTGGTAATTATCTGAAAATTACCTTACTCACTGAGATCTGGAACTTATGGTCTCCAAGGTCAATGAAAGTGGAGGCAATGAATGATTTCAAAAATGAATTGATCAGCACTTCAGTGAAATAAGCTTACAGGGTCAGGGGATACAGAGGTGTTTTGGGACTAATGGATTTTTCTGCAGTGAGACAGAATAGATTGGTTGAATGGCCTCATTCTGTACCTTTATGGTTGTAGGACCTGGAACATTAACTTTGTTTCTCTCTCCTCAGATACAACCAGACTTGCTGAGATTTTCTAACATTTTCATTTTTAATTTCAAGTTTCCAGCGTCTGCTGTATTTCACTTTTGCATGCTATCCTCTTAACTGAACTAGCATAAAATGTACCTTAGGAACTTATTTGATTTAAATACACATTTTTATTAATTTTTACTTATATGCTAATCTTTTGGTTGTAATTTCCTTACCACTGCAAGCAATGTTAATTAGAGATCTTTATATCTGTTTCAGGCAAAAGGTTCTCAAAACACCACACCAGTAGGTACTCAGAAAAAAGTGAAGAGAACCCTTCCTAATCCTCCTCCTGAAGAGGCTGGTCTTGCTGGGAGCCAAGCAAACTTCCCCACTGTCAACTCTGTTTCCCACAGAAGAGTTTGCAGGACCAACACGATGGCCAGAGCGAAAATTCTCCAGGACATCGATAGAGAGTTGGAACTTGTAGAAAGGGAATCTTCCAAACTCAGGAAAAAACAGGCAGAACTAGATGAAGAAGAAAAAGAAATTGATGCCAAATTACGATATTTAGAAATGGGCATCAATCGAAGAAAAGAAGCTTTGCTGAAGGAGAGAGAGAAACGGGAGCGAGCCTATTTGCAGGGCGTAGCTGAGGAAAGAGATTATATGTCAGACAGTGAAGTAAGCAACATAAGGGAGACCAGAATAGATGCACAACGTGGGTTGGAGAGACCTAGAACTGCACCACAGCCTGATTATGATCAGTTTCTCTTACCTCAGACCCAGTCACAGCCTCAGTATGCAACTACTCCAAGCCATTACACACAGTACCAGTACCCTACTCCTCCACTGACCCAAACCCAAACTCAATACCAACAGCAATCTCCTTACCAAGAACAGGCATTATACCATCAGCAAGTTTCTCCCTATCAAACCCCAGCTACCTATCAGACTGTCCCCACAATCACTTATCAACAACAGCCCCCTCCTTCTCAGGCCCAGTCAACAGCCTATCCACATCCATCCCAAATGGTGCTGATTCAACAGAAACCAAGGCAGACTACACTTGTTGACCTTGAACCAAAAATAACCACAAACTATGAGGTGATCCATAATCAGTCTCTTCTGATGGCTTCCACCTCTGCAGATAGCACTTATGCAGTTCCTCATTTGGGCAGTAAGTACAGTAATTTAGACCTGAGAATAGGGTTGGATGAGAGGGGAACTGTGACAGGTAGCCCAATCTCAAGCCTTTCTGCAGAATCCTATTATGCAGATCTCGAGCATCGTGCACCTCGGAACTATGTTCTGATTGATGACATTGGTGAACTCACTAAAGGATCTAGTTCACTTGTGACTGGATTTAACCTTCACGATATACAAAAACAAGTGCACAAGAATGAGCGGCTACTTGGCACAAGTGAAGCACGCAGAACTGCAGACATGAAAGATTTTATTGGGCCTTTGCAGAGCTCAACACGCTTACAGTCCTATGGAAAAACAGATGAAGATGCCATGGAGGATCCTTATGAATTAAAGCTATTGAAGCAACAAATTAAACAAGAGTTTCGCAGAGGAGCTGAAGGCTTAGAACATCTTTCTAGCCTTCCCCAATACTACCAGGCAGATAGCAGCTACAGGCACTTTCCAAAGTCTGAGAAGTATAGTATAAGCAGGCTGACTCTTGAAAAGCAAGCTGCAAAGCAATTGCCACCATCCATCATTTACCAAAAGCAAAGCAAACATAAAAAACAGTTGCTGGACCCCAAATTCTCCAAGTTCTCACCAATTCAAGAAGCCAGAGATGTGGAGCCTGACTTTACCAACTACATGGGAACTACATCAGCAGTAACCGGGGCTCCCTCTAGAGCAAGGCTTATTCAAGATGATGTAACATTTAGCCTAAGAAAAAATATTCGTGACCAGCAGAAGTTTCTTGGCCCAACTGTCAGATCTACATTCGATGATGAAATTGACAAAGCATACACCAGTGGAACTAGATCCAGGCCCTCGTCCGTTTATGGACTTGATCTAACAATTAAAAGAGACCCTTCCAGTACATCATTGCGCATAAAAGGTCAGGAAAATGATCCATTAGATATTGCCTATGGACAGAGTACTCCTTCGGTACGAACAAAGCCGTCCAGTTTACCGATTAGCCACAGCAGAGGAAGAATTACCATAGTCGCCCAGAATTCGGAGGAAGAAAGCCCCTTAAGTCCTGTTGGACAGCCAATGGGAATGGCTCGAGCAGCAGCTGGCCCATTGCCACCAATATCTGCTGATACAAGGGAACAGTTTGGCTCGAGCCACTCTCTACCTGAAGTACAACAGCACATGAGGGAGGAATCACGGACACGTGGATATGACCGTGACATAGCGTTTATTATGGATGACTTCCAACATGCCATGTCAGACAGTGAAGGTAAAATGGGACTCAAGATATTATGTCATCATCAAAAAAATTTCCGTTCTCTGCATGTTTATAATTTTTGTTCGTTCCTTACAGACTCTCTTGTCCCTGCCTGTACTTTATTTTAATTTGTGTGTACCTCAGCAGAGAAATGTTTCGTCATGCAAGCATGTTACAAACATTAGAAGTTTCAAGTCATATTGAAGATTCTCTGTTAACCATTTTCAGTTAAGAAAATTATGTATTAATGAACTGCAAACATTTATTTCAGTTGAATGTGTACAATGTTATTTAATTTATGAAACCACTTTTCTAGAAAGATTTTGTGAGAGACATGTCTTTCAATTTCCTTCAGAATTTCCTTTTTGTGTGTGAAACAGACTACATTCTGTTGCTGTTAGATCCATTCCCATTCCCAATTATTAGCCCAAACTTTATGCAGCTCTGAAGAAGTCAGCAGTGTGAATAAACAAATCATGAAGAATAAAACATTAGAAGAGTTATGTTTTGATCATTTTGAATTGTGTTTTAATTAGATCTGAGATTCTGCCAGTTTATTTTTCATTCATTTATTTTTTGTATGTAGTAGTTAGCTATGCTCTGGAAATGCCCGTGTGCAGTAGCTAACAACAAGAACAAATAGAATGCACGAATGCATGACTTCTTGGATAGGTTATGCACCCTGTGCCATACCTTTAACATGGTAGCAACATACAACATTAGAATGGTGAATGGCATCAGGCAATGAGTGGGTGGTACGTTAAGATGCACTCAGAGAGCCCAGGTTCCCATGCAACATGCGCTTTCCCCTGTGTGTTGTAGCCTGACACTACGGATAGTGATGGTTGAGGCTCCAATGTTCTTTACATCACCTGGCTGACCAGAAACCTCTCCTACTCTTACCCACATGTTGTAAGAGTTTGAAGGTCAATCTTCAATCTATTGGCTAAGTTATGAACACTCTTTCCTTGGCCATCAAGTCTTGGAGAGGGACTCAGAGTCTCTGATTCAGAAGCACAAATACTTCCCAGTCTGATACATCACCTCGGTTGGTGTATATCCTGACAATACTATCCATATTTTCATTTGCTTAAAAACTCCACTCCAAATATTCTGTAAAGTACTAAATGATGTTTTAGAGTGAAGGGACACAAAGTTTGTTTTTCAATTTTGAGGCTTTTTTCCCCAAAGACGCTGTATAGATTTCTCATTAGTTTTATTAATGCGTATCAAATAAAGGCTGCTCTTGGTGCTTTATACATTCTGAATTTATTATGACGGTATGTGTTTTTCTTGGCCAAATGAATAATTAAGTACACAGTGTGGTTGAAGAATTTAGTTTAAAGATGATGATTAATTTAACAAAGGGTCGCTGCAGTTGCAGCTTTTGGTGCCCTTCATCACATAAAAATAAAAGCAAGATTTTCTGAGAAACCGAACTATTCTGATATTGCTTTTTCTCTTTCTTTTTTCCCCCCTTCTCTCGCTTTATATCAAACAGGGGTGTGCACAGCACTGAAACAATTAACTGAACCCAACCAAACTAAGTTCATTGAAATGAATTGTGAGTTGAATGATTTGGTTGGACTTTGAGCTTTGTTAAATTGAGTTTGCTAACTAATGAAGGAGCACTGAGTGACTTTACAAGGCATGGTCATTGGTTCTTGGGAAGATTTGTATCTTGAAAATACTAAAGGAAACAAAATGCCAGTCTATGTGTATTATTGTTACTAGGTTTCTAGTTTCTGCTATTCATCTCGGCCATGAAGATATGATACATACTTCATGTTCAAACTGAGAATTTCACATCTTCAGATTAGATAAATGCAAATCCCAAGCCAAATTGTGGTGCTGTGTTTTCCAGTTTTGTGACATACAGCTGGTTTTTGAGATCTGCCCTCAATAAAATTTCCTTCTAAAAGTTTGGGATGGATTTCTCACGCACTCATGTGAATGATCTAACCCTTGATTGGTCAGGCTATGTCTATCATGTAAATCATTAAAAGCATTGAGCTGACCAACTCTTTTCCCGTTCCTACTATTATATCCTTACATTATCCTAATTTGTCCAGGTTTTTGACTCTTGGATTTCAAACTAAGCAATGCCTGTTTCCCAGAATCTATGGCAGAATTTGTGTTGTCTTGATTAGTTTTCATTTTCTCATCACTACTTTGAAAATTAATAGACTAAAATATTTTCAATCAACTAATCTGGCTGTAACCCTGGATGCTGAAGTTTCTTGATATTTGGTTTTAACTTTATATTTTACAGCTAACTACCTAATCCATTCCTGAAAAATAACTTTTCACTTAAACAATTGACAAGTGATAATAATAGGGCATTCACAATATTCCTGAAAAAAAAGACTCTATTAAAGCTCAGAAAACTATCTAATGACTTAAACATCAGATGGTTTGCACACCTTTAGTCTCCAGTTAATAAATCTGTGATATGTTTACAAATTGCCTTCCTACTTTTCAATTGCTTTTTCTAATGATGGTCATAGTCTGGTTGTAATTTTGCATGAACATATTGGAAAATGCATAGACTTGCATGCTGCAATTACTAAATAGCACATATAATGTCCTCACCTGGCAGTGAGCTGCCATCCTGAACTCCCGTTGTCTGATTTGGAGAACTGACATTTCCTTGATTTTCAAAGCATATCATCTGCGTCGTGAAGAAACAGATTGGTTTGACAAGCCACGTGAGTCTCGCCTTGACGATGCACCTGCCATAAATCGCAAACTTCCAGAGAAATTAACCCACTCCAGACAATCTCAACAACAATCCACAGAAGTAAGAAATCATTTATGAATTTCAATTTCTGCATTGATCCTTCTTATTCCTGATTAAGTTGGAATGAAAAGAATTCTTTGGTAATTTTGCAGTTTTCATTGAATATACAATATCGTCATTGATCTATCTTTCTGCAGGCTTGAATAATGTGTACTAATTGATCAAAGAGCACTATATTTGGAGAACATTGAAATCTAATATTTTAGGCGAGAAATTACCAAAGGGATCATTAGAGGAAATGCCAAAATATTAACATTATTTTCTTCTGTTCATTGAAAGTAAATAAATTGACATCTGTGCACGATTTCAATGCACAACGTTGTTTCTTCAAATGTTGTTTACTTGTGTGTGAATCAAAATTGATCAATGTATTATTTCAAGAAGACTACATTAAATTATAAAATTTGGTTCTAATTTTCTAGGTTGGTGGGAAGCTTGTTCAATACAACTTCCCACATTCTCGGATCAGAATTCAAAGGGATCTAAAGGACCAGACAGTATCAGGTGAAATAACTTTGCTTTCTCCCCCCTCCCCTTTGCTTTACTGTCATTTAATGCTGGTTGCTTGTTGCGCTTTTATTTGAGTCCTATCAAAATGTTAAGATATATGCAATATCAAAAATGTATCAATATTATTGTTTTGTCAATAGCCTTCACAACCAATAGCCCAGTTCTTCCATATGTGTAAAGTTTCAATGTTCTAAATATTCCAAGATTTTTTTTACATCACAGTCTCCTTTGTTTTATCTGATTGACAGAAAGCTCTTCCAATTCACATAAGAAACACTAAGCTTCTGTCAGTTAATACTATTTATGAGCTTTGATTCAAGTTTTATTGATGACATTGCAAGTATGTTGTGAATTCACAAAAAAGGGTTAGTGTAATGAACAAAGTTTGGGCCTGTGCTTGAAGGCTCATCAGACCCACTGTTTCGATAATGCACCAGCTCAAATGGTGACAGTTTTCAATTGGTTTACTCAATAAAGCATCCAGAAATTTGATGATGGAGTTAAGTTTGCCCATTTCATTCATGAAAATAGTCTTTTGAACTCATGAAAAATGCGATGCAAAGGATCTGATGGACAATGTTCCAATTATCTTCAGTGAAAACAGCTGAAAGGACAGAAGTAAATGAAAGAAGGGAAGCAAAATTACTTTTTTAAGAAGGGTCATTTTCACCTGTGTCATACTTATTATCTTTAGAATGTTTAAGTTATGCTTGAGTTGTGATGAATAACATGCGCTCATTTTATATTGACACTTTATTATGGACTATTATACAATGATGATCAGGGTAATTTTAGGAGAATAAAGTGGTTTGTGAGATTTTATTCAGATTAATTCTAACTTCAAAAAATCTTGCAATAACAATAACAATTAATGACCGTAGATACAAAACACAATGAATCAATAGTGTAAATTCGGCAACTGTATCACATTTTAACGCAATAAGCAGTTAGTTCTCTGGTGAAAAATAATATAATTCCAGGAATTGTAATGGCGATTGCACCTGCTGATTGAGTAGGTTATATTGATTGGAGACATGAGATTTGAGAATTTGATGTCCTCTATAAACAGCATTTCAGTAATAGGCTCATGCATGAGGATAAGTTGAACAATGTGATCCGTTCTCTGTTTTAAAAATCTTAATACTCTTGAAAGTGGAGAATATGGCAGGGTCAAGAAGTGGGTCCACACAGAAACATGCCCACTCCCTTTTTAACTGACAGATTGATTATTCAGTTCTCCCACTATTACAAGTTGCTTCCCTCTCCCTCTGCAGAGAAGAGTAATGCACGCTGCAGAGGCTGGCAGCCTGTAATTGATTACTAAAGATCCTGAGCACTAAGAAAACAATGTGAGCCACACAGAGGCTGGCAGCCTGTAATTGATTACTAAAGATCCTGTGCACTAAGAAAACAGTGTGAGCCACACAGAGGCTGGCACCTCAGTAAAGTCAGTGCTGAAGTCAGTGAGTGTGAAATGTAAAAAAAACAGAGGCTGGCATCCTCCAAGTATGTGTTAATGTAGGTGAGCACTCAGAAAGCAAGCTAAGAATCGTTAAATATATCCTGTGAGGTGGTGGTTTGCTGACTTGCTTGGGCAAAGGCTGAAAGAAGATAATTGCCATGGACCACGGACTTATGTTGTACTGAAGAAGTAGTTGAATGATGGCTGGGACAAGCACTTGGTTCGAATCCAGCCATGTTAGATGGTGGAATTTGAATTCAATAAAATATCTGGAATTAAGAATCTAATGATGACCATGAATTCATTGATGATTGTCGGGAAAAACCCATCTGGTTCACTAATGTCCTGTAGGGAAGGAAACTGCCATCCTTACCTGGTCTGGCCTACATGTGACTCCAGACCCACAGCAATGTGGTTGGCTCTCAACTGCCCTCTGGGCAATTAGGGATGGGCAATAAATGCTGCCTGGTCACTGACGCCCTCATCCCATGAATGAATTAAAAACAGCTTTGGTTGTTCTGACTTGTATGTAGATACTTTTACTTGATGGTGTGAAGGAATATGACAGAAACAAATATAAAATCATCATTTGCTTGAATAGAACTTGAGTATTACTGTGAAAAAGAAATGCTGTTAAAACGTTTTGCCTTTCACTCGTCAGGACAGGATCACAAGAGTACCAAATGTTAAAGGGAGCTGCAATGTATACTGCATGAGAAGAGGGTACTGGTGGTTTAGTAGGCTGACTTTAATTGATAGAGGCATTACCATTGAGAATGCGCTGAGGAACAGTTAACTGACAAGTTTATGTTTAAATCCAAATCAGGCACATTGGTAAATTTATTGCAATTAGGAATGCGCCAGAGCATATCTGTCACCCAAGCTTTTTTTTAATTATAAATGATGCAAATAGACATGTGTTTTCTGTTTGCACAGGACAGGGCCCTGATATGAGTGAATGTATTCATGCTGTATATATGTCACTTCTCTAAAACATGTTGGTAAGCCACTCTGTGATTCCAATTGATCATCTTGAGTTGGTCTTTAGTGAAATTCTTTGCACAACTTGAATTGTTCAGCAAATGTTGTTCAATCTCAAAATCACATCTGATGTTGGACAATATGTTTTGCATTTTAGAAGCATGTTCTGGATTAATACAATCAGTATTCTGATTTATAGCAACCGCAGTTCTTTCGGTTTTTACAATCAGTATTCAGCCTGTTGCAATCAGCTAAAAGAATGATTCGTTTGCATTTTAATGCAAGTGTGATGCAAGATATGTAGGCAGACATCTCAGTATCTGATAGATTCATATCAAGCAACACATCCCTTCAACTGTTCACAATAGGTTGAGAATTGATAATACTCAACCAGTCTCTGCTTGCAAAAACTCAGAGCATAGCATACAACATTAGTTGTGATTCTGACATCATTCAACATTTAGAAAACAATCCTAGTTGTGCTAAGAATTACCTCACATTACAACCAGTTTTGGATTATCAGTTGATCTTACAGTGCATCTCATATATGCACTGGTAGTAAATTCACACCCATGGTCCTGTCCTTTGCAAATGAAACAACATGTCCATGCATTGGGCATTTTTCAACAAATATTTGCAGGACAATCACCTACTGCAATCTCCATGGCAAAACCTGTACCGATCAGACTCCGATTTCCAGCCAATCAGCACCCTCTGGTTAAGTACTATAATTGTTCCCTTTGAGATTTAGTGTTCTTATAATTTTGTTCCAATGAATGCAAGATGAAAAGTTATTTATCTGTTTGAGCAAGTGAAGAAAATGCCAAAGAGAGTCAATGTCAGAACACAGGCTTGTTTAACCCAGTGTAGAGAGTCAGTACCGGAATACAAATGAGCAAACTGAACAAGTGAAAAAGTACAGTACAGGAACAGGCCCTTTGTCCCTCCAAGCCTGTGCCAGTCATCATGTTCTAATTAATCTAAAGACAAACCTGCCATTTTTAGACCCATATCCCTCTATTCCCTCCTATTCATGTACCCATCTAGGTGCCTCTTAAATGTCTTCAATGTTCCTGCTTCCACCACCTCTTCTGGCAGCGCATTCCAGGCTGCTACCACTCCCTGCATGAAAAACTTACCTCGCACATCCCCCTTAAACTTTCTCCCTCTGACCTTGAACCTGTGCCCCCTTGTAATTGAAACTTCAACCCTGGGAAAAACCCTCTGACTATCCACCCTATCTATCCCTCTCATAATTTTGTAGACCTCTATCAGGTCTCCTCTCAGCCGCCATCTTTCCAGTGAAAGCAATCCTAGTCTTTTTAACCTTTCCTCATGGTCAGTGCCCTGGAGACCAGGCAACATCCTGGTGAACCTTCTCTGTACTCTCTCCAAAGCTTCCACATCCTTCTGGTAATGTGGCGACTAAAAGGGTTAATGGCAGGATTCTCGGCAGTGTGGAGGAACAGACGGATCTTGGGGTCTACGCCCATAGATCCCTCAAAGTTGTGACCCAAGTTGATAGGGTTGTTAAGAAGGCATATGGTGTGTTGGCTTTCATTGACAGGGGAATGGAGTTTAAGAGCCATGAGGTTATGCTGCAGCTCTATAAAACCCTGGTTAGACCACACTTGGAATATTGTGTTCTGTTCTGGTTGCCTCAATATAGGAAAGATGTGGAAGCTTTAGAGATGGTGCAGAGGAGGTTTTCCAGGATGTGGCCTGGACTGGAGGGCAGGTCTTATGAGGAAAAGGTGAGGAAGCTAGAGCTTTTCTCTTTGGAGCGAAGAAGGATGAGAGGTGACTTGATAGAGGTGTATACGATGATGAGAAGCATAGATAGAGTGGATAGCCAGAGACTTTTTCCCAGGGTGGAAATAACTATTACGAGAGAGCATAATTTTGAGGTGATTGGAGGAAGGTATAGAGGACATGTCAGAGGTGGGTTCTTCACACAGAGAGTAGTGGGTGCGTGGAATGCACTGCGGGCAACGGTAGTGGAGTCAAATACTTTAGAGATATTTAAGCAACTCTTGGATAGGCACATGGAGGATAGTAAAATGTAGGGCATGCAGGGTAGATTGATCTTAGAGTAGGATGATAGGTTGGCACAACATCGTGGGCCGAAGGGCCTGTACTGTGCTGTACTGTTCTATGTTCTATGTTCTTAAAACTGCACACAATACTCCCTGTGTGGCCTAACAAGGGTTTTATATAGCTGCAACATGTTTTGCCAACTCTTGTACTCCACGCCCTGGGTGATGAAGGCAAACATGCCATATGCCTTCTTAATCACCTTGGCTACCTATGTTGCCACTTTCATGGAACTTTGGACCTGCACACACCCAGACTGGTCTGATTGTTAGTGTTCCTAAGGGTTCTGCCATTTACTAAATAATTCACACCTAAATTTGATCCTCCAAAATGCATCATCTCAAATTTGTCTGGATTAAACTCTATCTGCCATTTCTGTGCCCAAGTTGCCAATCTATCCATATCCTGTTGTATACTTTTACAATAGTTGGCTTGTTTTAACCCAGTGTAGTTCTCA